TTGCCTAATATTTGTCATAGGATTCTTATCGTCTCCTATTCCTGAGTAAATTCCTGAGTTGATAAAACCACTGGCCATTTTACTTTTAACTTGGTCATACTCTTAAACAACATTTCCCCAAGTTTCCCACCTTACTCCCCCAGTACCTGGACACACCATTCCACTCTGTTTTTTGAGTTCAGTTCTTTTAGGTTCTACATATAAGTGATATCATAGAGTAGTTATCTTTCTCTGACTTCTCTCCCTTAGCATAATGACCTCAAGATCCATCCAATTGCTTGCAAATGGCAGGATGTCATTCTTTGTCATGGCTGAATAATATTTCATATACCACAACTTCCTTATCCATTCATTCACTGATGGTTGCTTGAGTTGTTTCCATATCTTTGTTAGTATGAATAATGTTGCAGTAAACATGAGAGCGTAGATATCTATGACAACCGATTTCCTCCAGGGAATTTGGGAAGATAAGGTTTATTACTCAGAGTACCTTGAGGGGCAGGTCTTGTATTTATCAGAGAATTATGATGGCTTGATGTCACATCACTGCTATAGTCAAGGACATCTGGAAAGAATGGAAATCAATGCAGTAAGTAAACTCCAAGCATTACATGTGGTGTTCACTATTCAAAGGCAAGCAATTCAATTTCAGAGTTTCAGGGCTCCAGGAACAGGCCTGCAAGGGACTTTAGTCTTGTAAAAACTTTCTCGGCAACATGAAACCCGCCATTCGTTCTAAAATGAGATTCCTAGGTAGAGCCTGAAAAAGGTTTATCATTAGCATGGTCTTTGAATAGCTTCTGTAGAGGAGGTGTTTATTAAAGGCTAAGGACTGCGTTAGAAAAAAAAAGAGTCTGTAGTCAATGAAATAAAAACAACAGAACACCAATTATACTTCCATTTGCAATTTACAGAAATCTTGCGGACTTTACGATGTGTTAATAGTGTATTAAGGACTTAACCATCTAGTGCCACTATTCTCACAATTCTCCTGTAGAGATGAGAAATCAAAGGTTCTCAGAGCTCAGGTTGCTCAAGGGACCAGTGCCAACAGGGAAGAAGGTGGGAGAAGAATCGGATATTTTGACTCTCTAATTCCTACTCATTAACTAATCCATTCATATAAAACAAGTAGATAGACATAGACACAGTAAAGTGTGTGGAAAGTGACTATGAAGTGTGTAAGTAGATAAACATAAACACAGATAGCTCCCCTATAGTCACTACGCATATGCAGATGGAGACTGTCTCCAACATCCCAGTCTCCTCATGATTCTTCTGTCAAGTCCACATTTCTTCCACCACCACCAGAGGCCCCCACTGTTCTGTTTTCAACCAAAATGGATCTGCTTTTCCTAGTTCTTGTACTTCATCACAAGTGGCCACACACTGTGTACTGTTTGTTGCCCCGCTTCTCTCCAGCAACATATTTTTGTGTGTCTTCTACATCATTAGTGTGGCAGTAGTTTGTTCCTTTTTATTGCAGAATGATTCTTTTATACAAATAGATCACAATTTATTCATTTTTATTTAAGCCTTTGTTCTGTTTTTATTTTGTTGTTGTTTTTTAAAGATTAATTTATTTGAAAAAGAGAGAGAGAAAGTGAGTGCCCATGCACATGCACGCACAGGTGGCAGGTAGGGGAGAAACAGAGGGAGAGAGAGAGAGAAACCTTAGCAGACTCTGCCTGAGCCAGGAGCCCAAAATGGGGCTCAATCCCGACCCTGAGATCATGACCTGAGCCAAAACCAGGAGTCCAGCACTTAACCGACTCTGCCTCCCAGATGCCCCATCAGTTTTTATTAATAAAGTTTTATTGGAACATTCGTGTATCTGTCAGTTGTGGATTTATGCGCCTACCTCCTTTGGGTATATTCCTCGAAATGGAAGTCCTGAGTCACAGGGTTGGCATAGGCTTTGCTTTACTAAATACCACTTTATTGAAATGGTGAACATGTTTACATTCAACCAGCCATGTAATAAAAGTTTCAGTAGCTGTAAATCCTGTCCACTTATTGTCAGACTTTTTTTTTTTTTTAAGATTTTGTTTATTTATTTGACAAAGAGAGATCACAAGTAGGCAGAGAGGCAGGCAGAGAGAGAGGGGGAGGCAGGCTCCTTGCTGAGCAGGGAACCCTATGAAGGGTTTGATTCCAGGACCCTGGGATCATGACCTGAGCTGAAGGCAGAGGCTTTAACCCACTGAGCCACCCAGGCACCCCTTATTGTCAGACTTAAAAAAAAAAAAAAAAGTATTGATAGACACTTCTCCAAAGAAGACATACAAATAACTAACAGACACATTAAAAAATGTTCATCATCATCATTAGCCATCAGGGAAATTCAAATCAAAACCACATTGTGATACCAACTTACACCAGTTAGAATGGCAAAAGTGGACAAGACAAGAAACAACAAGGGTTGGAGAGGATGTGGAGAAAGGGGAAGCCTCTTACACGGTTGGTGGGAATGCAAGTTTGGTCAGACTCTTGGGAAAACAGTGTGGAGATTCCTTAAGAAATTAGAAATAGAGCTTCCCTATGACCCTCCAATTGCACTACTGGGCATTTACCACAAAGATATAGACATAGTGAAAAGAAGGGGGACATGCATCCCAATGCTCCTAGCAGCAATGTCCAAAATAGCCAAACTGTGGAAGGAGCTGAGATGCCATTCCACAGATGAATGGTCCATATATATGATGGTATCTATTACTCAGTCATCAGAAAGGATGAATACTCACCATTTGCTTCAATATGAATGGAACTGGAGGGGATTATGCTAAGTGAAATAAGTCAAGCAGAGAAAGGCAATTATCATAGAGTTTCACTTATATGTGGAACATAAGGAATAGCATGGAGGACCAGGAGGAAGGAAGGGAAAAATGAAGGGGGAGAGACCAGAAGGGGAAATGAACTGTGAGAGATTATGGACTCTGGGAAACAAGCTGAGAGTTTTAGAGGGGAGGGGCATGGGAGGATGGGTGAGCCTGGTGATGGGTATTAAGGAGGACATGTACTGCAATGAGTACTGGGTGTTACAGGCAAACGATGAATCATGGAATCCTACATCAAAAACTAATGATGTACTGTATGGTGACTAACATAACATATAAAAATAATAAATAAATAAATAAAAGTTGATTTGTTATGTGAATTTTATCTCAATAATAAAAAAGGAAAGAAAAATTAAAAAATAAAACTATATTTTAGTGGTATCATCTTTCAAATTAGTATTTCCCTGTTGACCAATGCTATGGAGTAAGCTTTCCTGTGTTTATATATACATGTCCACATACATACATATGATTTGGAATTCTTGCTTATAGAGTAGATTGATCAAGTGTTCATTTTCTATGTTTATGTGTGTCCCATTCAATAAGTTTCTGCCTCTTTTTAGAGTCTAACAGTATTCTTCTATAGTTTTGTCAGGCATCATTATTTTATCTCTTGCTTGTAGACAGTGGTCTACCTATAATTCATAATTTTGCCTGGTGTTAGATGGGTCAAAACTTTTTTTGATTTCTCAGTTTATTCTTATTTCAATACCCAATAGTACCTTACCATTCTTTGCAACAACAACAATAAACAAACAAAACACAAAAAGCAAATTATACCTCACTCGAATGCCTTTGTTAGAAATCAAGTCATTATGCATATGGAGTCTTTCTCTGGACTCTTTGTTCTCTTCCATATTTCTATTGTCTATCTTTGTAACTAGAGTAACTGTCTTAATCACTGTAGATTTATAAGAAGTCTGGAAATCTGGGTACTGTAAATCTTCGGACTTTATTTTTCTCCTTTAAGATCTTCTTGACTATTCTAGGTCCTTTGAATTTCCATGTAAATTCTGGAATTGCCTTTTTTACTTTCTAGGAGTTTTTAATTGGATTGCATTGAGTCTATATGTCAAATTGGGGAAAACTGAAATCTTAAAAATATCAAGTTTTCCATTCTTTGAGCGTGGAAAAACTCTATTTAAATAAATCTCCCCTAATCCATAATAGATATTTATGTATTGACATTGTATGTGGACACCTTGTTAAATTATTTCTAGTTGTTTATTTGAAGATTCTCTAAGAATTTATGTATGTATTTTGTTATCAACAAATAAAGATATTTTGTTTCTTCCTTTCTGTATTTTGTAACTTTGCTTTCTTCTTCCTGTTTTATTTTTCTTTATTGCACTGTCTAGGACCTGTAGTATAATTTTGAACAGAAGTGATGAGAGTGGACATTTCAGTCTTTTTCACAATATAAGGAGTAAAATGTTCAATAATTTTACCACCAAGTATGATGTTTGTGTAGGATATTGAATAGATACTTTATGAGAATAAGGTGTTTTTCCATTATTTGTGACTTGCTGAGAATATTGTTCAAAAACAGCTGTTGACTTGTTTTCAAATGAATTTTCACTACTATTGAGATCACTTAGGAACAAAGAAAAGGTCCCTCTGCAAGATAAATATCTTTTTTTTTTTTTAAGATTTTATTTATTTGTTTGAGAGAGAGAGAGCAAGCACAGCCTATGTAAGGCTCCATCCCAGAACCCTGGGATCATGACCTGAGCCAAAGGCAGATGCCACCCAGGCATTCCTGGAAGATAAATTTCTGATCACCCCCTCAATCCAACCCAATCCAGTGATGCACTAAGACGTCCAAGCACACTGAGGATGGAAAGAACATAAGACGACCACCAGCTTCTCTTTCGCTTCCAACACTCTTGCACCAAATACCATCTCGCTGAATCTAGGTGAATAATGGGGTGGGAGGACATAGGAATCAATGTTGTGAGCACAGGTCAGAAATTCTTCCCTTGGGCTGAGCTCTAGGCATCTTCTGCCATAACCACCTGGGGAGGGGTTGTTCAACATCAGAGAAGAGGAAGTGAATGGTCTCTGCAGCTGGAAGCCCAGATGCACCTCCCCACCTGCTTTGCATGTTGCTCCCAGCCCACTCTGCTGTCCAGAGCCCATATCAATACCTGGGTCAGTGCCCTGGGGGAGATCTGCCTCAGTTAGGGCAGGGAGTGAACCATGATATCCCCAGCTCAGCTCCTCTGCTTCCTGTCCCTCTGGATCCCAGGTGAGAGGAAAATGGGATGATTCTGCATATCAGTGAAAACTGTGTTGTTTGGTCTTATCACTTGGCACCTTGACTCAGCAAGCGCAATAATTAAAGCTCAATATAGAGGAACAAACCAGAAGACAGCGGTTAAGATGTTGATTATGTGGCTGACTTTTCTGTTTTATTTCCAATCTCAGGTGCCAGTGGAGAAATTGTGTTGACGCAGTCTCCAGCCTTGCTGTCTTTGTCTCCAGGAGAAAAAGCCACTCTCAACTGCAGAGCCAGTCAGAGTGCTAGCAGCTATGTAGCCTGGTACCAGCAAAAACCTGGACAGGCTCCCAGGCTCCTCATCTATGGTGTATCCAACAGGGCCACGGGCATCCCAGCCCGGTTCAGCGGTAGTGGGTCTGGGACAGACTTCACCCTCACCATCAGCAACCTGGAACGTGAAGATGTTGCAATTTATTACTGTTATCAGTATAATAGCGGGTACCCACAGTAATTCAACATAAGACAAAAATCTCTGTTAAGACTTCAATGATTCATTTTTACCAGGTGCTTCCTTTATGAGCAGCTGCTGTAGTGCTTCCTCAGTCTCAGCATCTCTGTTCTGTTGGGAAATCTTGAGGTTCCGAAAATTAACTCCACCACAAGACTTGGGCTCTGATTACTGGATTCTTCCTTGGACTTAGCTGCATTAGGAACAATTTCACCACCAATGGCATCAGATCAGATTCATAGGAATGGACATCTCTAAAGGTCCAACAACATGGACAACAAAGGAGGATTAGAAGGGAAGAATGAAAACTATCGTAATTCAAAGATGAAAAGATTATATGCTGACAAAATTCAAAATAATTTACAAAGGAACTACTAGAAACAACAGGAGAAATAAGTCATCGCTGAATTCAAAGACAACATGCAAAGGACCGTGAGATTTCTATATAAAGGAAATAAATGCTTAAAAATAAAATTTAAAAACCCATCATTTAGAAGTGCCTCAAAAACACCTAATATATTTAGGAAAAACAACAAAATAATTAGTAATAATTATTAGCAGAATATTATTCATAGAAAACAAAACCTGGGTAAATGGAAAACCGTATTTATGTCCAAGGATTGAAAGTCTTGGTATTGGGAGCATGTCAATTTATCTTCCCTTCAGCCCAAATCTGCGTATTTGCTGGAAAATTTCATGCCCCAGCAAGGAAGCTTTCCCCCATCCCAGTCCCTAGCAATGATAAACACTCAACATTCTGTCTCATGGAAGGTAACCTGCATAGCCTGGTCTCCCCAGGAGCCCCTTGTATGAGTAAAAACACCCTCTCGATTCTTTTGGTACGTGGAGTCCGTCAGCCTCAAATTAATGCTTCTTAACTGAAAAAGGGGTCCGTCTCACCTCCATGGAAAAACCATAAAACATAATACTGAGGAAAACAAGAAAAGAAGGAAAGCCCATAGAGTTGAGCCCCACTTTTCTTTCTTCGCTCTTCTTGACTCATGAGCAGAGTCGGGATTAGGAACAGGTCATTAGAAGCAGAGAGTCCGGGATAAAGGAAAGGCTGAGAAGTCTCAGTGCTGAACAAAGTTTTCAATAATATCACACGGTCAGAGATGAAAATTAATCCTCAAGGACAAAAGAGAAGGAGAGATTCTGGCAAAGTCTGAAGACTTCAGTTGGAATTGCAGCAAGGCTACACCCTGGGGGACTGCAAGAACTGGGAAGAGCCAACAGGGCATCATCGCCAATGCTAACCCCAGACTCAGGGACAGTGCAATCCTTGATTGGATAGAGATCACACAGCATCCAATAGCACTTCAGTCTGCCAGAATCAAATGTCATTTCTTTCTGCATGATAAAAATCATTCTTTTATTTTTATTTTTAAATTTATTTATTTGACACAAAGAGTAAGAGAGAGAGCGAGCACGCAGCAGGGAGAGTGGCAGGCATAGGGAGAGGGAGAAGCAGCCTCCCTGCTGAGCAGGGAGCCCAATGCAAGACTGGATCCCAGGACCATGGGATCATGACTTGAGCCGAAGGCAGATGCTTAACCAACTGAACCACCCAAGTGTCCTGATAAAAATCATTCTGGAGCCTAAAATCACCATTAAAATGTTTCTCAGCAAATACATGTATAAATCTACATAAATCGTAAGTATATAGAACACCATCTGGTTTTCCATCAATAAGTCCAGGAGGAAAATAAACAGGCAAGAGAAATAGACCTCCCCCCTCAAAGTTGCAACTAGTAGGTAAGAGGATATTAGAAACTTAATGCATTTGCTGAAAGATTGAGAATTCTAATGGACAGCCTGAAATGATTAAAAGTAACGAAACAGAAATTCAAAAATAATAATCCAAGTTGAGGACTAAACAGATGAGTTTAACAGTAGATTTATCAGAGCTGAAAAGAGAAATGGTAAACAGGAAGATGATACAGAGTAAGGTTGGAATATCAAATCAGTGGAAAACATACAAAAGGTCTTAAAAGGCAAAATGGATACACCAGGCGGAAAAAGTTCAATGTATTTATAACTGATGTTCATGAAGTAGAGAGGAGAATATAGGGAGAGGCAAGATTCGAAGAGGTCTTGACTGAGGAACTTCTAAAATTGATCACAGATTGAAGGAATTCTGTGAACTCTTAATAAGGAAAACATCCCTCCAAAATGATACCAAAGCCCATCTTATTACCAGTGCTGAGAAAACACACACAAAATGGGGGAAGAGATGAAAAACAGAGAGGGTAAATGTAATTCTTAGAAAATAAGGTAAATTATCTTTAAGAGAGCAACAATGAGAAAATCATATAGCTCTTAACATTAGATGGCAGGAAACAAAACAAAATAAAATAAATAAAATATATTTTGAAGGTGTAGGAAGAAAGTATCTGCCAATTTAGGATTCTATACAGGAATATACTTTACAACGGAAGACAAAATTAATACATTTTACAAAAACAAAAACGTACAAATTGAATCATCAGAAGACCAACATGAATAGAAATTTTACAAGGACTTTTAGAGAGAAGAAAACAAAGTCCAGACATAAGTTCGGAGATTGAACAGGAGTGAAGAACAGTACAAGGGGTAAATATGTGGGAAAGTCTACAGTAATTTTGACTGTCTACAATAATAATATCTTGTGGTATTTACAATGATGTAGAACTAAATTATACATACAAATGAAACATGGACACAAATGCTCAGAAGGTACAAGGTTTTGTACCTTTGTACTTCTAACTAATTTAGGTTAGAGTTTTGAAGATGCATGCATTTTCTGGAATATGTTCAGGTACAAAGGCATATAAAGACAGGACAAGCCAAAAGCACATGCCGTGCTCTCTAGAATACTCACAGTGTACAAAAATAATACAAAATTTAAAAATGTACTTAGGAAAAGAATGAACCAGTCCTGCGCACCAATCAATGCTACATGAATTGGTATGGAAAAGATTATATAAAGATACTCAAAATTGCATGGCAAAATATTACACATTAAACCAAATCAAAAGACAACTGAAGACTACAGTAAACTATTTTTAATGTATTATATATAAATGAACATCAATATTCTCAACTATGAGAACTTTTAAAGATAATTATGGCAAAGAATCAAAACCTATGTAGAAACATGAAAAAAAGAACAGAGAATTCCAAAAAAAGACATAAAAATAACCTTTAAGTATACATAGTACGTTCAATCTCACTGATTATTAGAAAATGCAAATCATAACTATTTTGAGAAGGTATTTCTCATCTATCAGATCTGAGAAAATTAAGAACACACGAAGCACATATTTAGACAAAGTTGTGGGGAAACACACACCTCATTTATAGCTCCTGGGAATGGAAGCAAATATTGTATCTTCAGAGAAGAATATGACAATATTAACAAAATTACCTGTGTGTTAACCATTTGACCTATAATTCCATTTCTAGGAATTTCTGGAGATACACTTACAAATACGATGTACAAGGTTATTCCCTGCAGCATTGGTTGTAATTGTTTGCAAAAATACTGTCAAGAAACTAATCCCCCTCACATAAAAGTGTGGTTGAAAAAACTATGACCCATCCACACAATGGGGTATGTTTTTTCTGTGAAAAAGAAGATTTCTATGAACTGATATGGAGTGACTTCCAGGATTTATTTTTAAATAAAAAAAGCAAAGTGCAAACAATTCTCTGTATTATCCTACATTCCTTATAAGGTGGAAGAAAAGAAAAACAAAACAACAAACAACAAACAAAAAAAAATGTGTGAGGATAAACCAGAGTGAGATTGTTGCCTACAGGGATGGTATGGCAATGAAATAGAAGGGACAGGGACGTGACCTATCTCAGAACATAACCTTTCCTTTTGTGTATCTCTCACTTTGGGAATCACATTAACTGTACACACATTCAAAACCATAAATAAATGTTATCAAACAGGATGAGGAATGCGCTGTCGTTTTCCTTATTTTAGAGAGAAATTCGGAGATCAGATAGAATGTGTGTGAGCATTGAGCTGCTCTAGCAAGTGATCTGGTGGAAGTTTCAACAAGCCAGGTGGAAATCTGTTATAAACAAGGAAAGAAAATCTTTCTAAGAAAAGAGTTGGGTGTGCACTGATTTAAAAATACCGGATTGTTACTTCACGAATTGCAGGGAACATGATCATCAGATGGAAAGTAAGAGCACTCGTTCATTTTCAAGCATGCAGACTTCTTGCCTTTTGTGGAACCAGGGAGCAAAGGAAGGCACAAAGGCGCAGTTCCCAGGCTTCCAAATGTATTACATTTAATACAGTTTGAAGAAATCATTTGACTCTCCCCATACTTTTTTACTTAATCCTCTACCAAAACCAGGATGTACTCAATTTAGAGAAGATAGAGGAAGTTGTCCTCCACTCCATGACATCCCTGGGCACCATCTCCCATGAGATGACTAAACAGAGTGAAGCTAAGATCTAATCCAAACTGAGAACTTGAAGATGGGTTTTGTGGGCAGCCATCATTCTGTGCTCCCAGTACATCCTAGGTGTGTGAGGGTGGGGAGGCCAGTGGGACAGATAAGAAGGAACCCACACCACAGGGGACAACCAGAGAATATAACAGAAGTGTGATATAAGCTCAGACTGGCTGAGTCGCTGGGAACCCCAAACCTGATTACACCATAGTGACTCCATTGCTGATTAGAGAGTCTTGAGCACCAAAATATTGAATGGCCTTGAGTCCCAGACGTGGTGAGGAAAGACCAGTTCATAGAGCATTGACATCTAACTGAAAACTACATCTCACTATATAATGCTCCCACTCTCTGGTATGGTACCTGAAAACTAATTATGATTTGTCACAGGCATCAGAAATAAAGCATGTTTGAAATTGTATAAGAAAAAGAACACTGTACCCTGGAAATAACACTCAATTAAACAGGAAGTACCCCCAGAGTGTCTCTCCACACATGGCCACAAGAGGGGACACCTGCACAACAGTGACCCCAGAGAGGAATCTGGT